ATATATATATATATATATTAAGAATAACCATTTACTAAAAACAGTAGTAAAAAATTTTGGAAGCATTTAATGAATCTTTTTTTGGAAACCTTTTAAATATGCATTAATTGCTTATATATACTAATGCGTGACCCGTGCAATCCGCAGACTGTATTTATTTTGTAAAATATTACAAAATAGTTATAATACGTAGAGAGTTTGTCAAATCATAAAATGTTCGTAATGGAAAAATTATATATTATTAAAACTTTCTTTTATACTACATTATTAGTTTGATACTTGGCAACTCGTCCCCACAAAATAATATTTTCAACCACTTTCTATAGCTTACACGCAAAACAACATATAATTGGTCGTAACTAGAAACCGATTTCTTTAACGATAGAGCAGTCCCTAACCTTGTTTATGGTCGGGGCATACGAAATCATAAGTTGGAACTGCTACCGTTGGAACTTAAATAGAACTCTAAGATCGGAAGAATTTACTTATGTCTGATGATTTACTTGGCGGTTCGACAAATGAGCCGTTACTTTGTCATTTTAATATCAATTTTATTTGATTAGCAAAACTAACATGTACTAATATTTTTACACATTTTTATCACTAAATTCTTAAATCCATGAGAGATAATTACTTATTTATATTATATTGTACTAAATACATTTTATTATAGATACATTTATATTTTATTGTTTGAATAACTTGAGACTAATTACTATTTTAAATAATTGTTAAATAATAGAATTTATTTCAATTTATATGTGCAATTAAATAATAAACTTAATAATTCTTGAAAAAATTATTATTTTTTATTTATGCATACAATATGAGTGTCAACAAAGCATGTAAAACAACGGTGAATTAATATTATAAATACAAAATGACTAATATAAAAAAAGGTTTCATGTTTTTAATAAAGCATTGGAATTAATACTTAATAAGAAAAAAAAAACAACGATATAAAATTAAAAAGGAAATAAAACAAAGTTTGAAAATTTCTGTAATCATTAAATTTACATCAATTATTGATTTCACGTTACCAAAAAAAAAAATAAGAAGTCTTACAACCGATGGTCAAAAAAATTACTAAGAGGAAACAAAAAAATGCAAT